GGATCGTGCAAGGAAAGAACACGGAAGTTGACAGGTTTCCATTAATGGCAAAGTAGTGTGAGTCCAATTGTTCTACTTTACCTGGAAGTGTACCTTTTGGTCCGCAGTATAAAGTATTCGGAGGCGGGTGGGGGGGGGACCTACTACTAGTTTAGGGTAGACTGTCCACATCTTTTAAACAATTCCTTAGGATAATGGGAGTTCTAACTGAGCAAGTCAACGACAGTCCCCATTCTAATGTCTGGGCCTGTATCTAAATTATCATGGAGGTTACAGTGAGTTCAGATTACGGTTGAGGACCAACACAGTAGAAGTAAGACACATGTAATCCCCCACCCAGCACATGTCACTCCCTGAAATAACGTAGACATATCTCCAAGTCTACAAAACATATTCCAGTTACACGTGAGAACTGCTACTGTTGACATTTTTAAATTTAGATCCCATCATGGTGAGTGGCACAGGACATAACTGAAAGCATCAACAATATTGGGCTTCCCCATGAATATCAACACGTTATCCGTTTCTTTCCATCAATCTTCCAAAGAAAATACATTTTTAAAGTGCAAAAAGGAACAATGATCTCATAACCTTCTTCTTATGCAAATAGTTTTCCCTCATCTAAAAGAATCCTTTTAAAACATAAAGCAAATGCAGCCAACAGTGTTAACACATTTTCCTACAATTTATAGATGCAGGGCCAAAGGTTAGGAGCTATGCAAAAATTTATTTTGCGAGACAAGAACGTATTGATGTTAAATAAATTATAATAAATAACTATAATCACGCACATACACATAGATAAATATGATTTTTTTTTCGTATGTATTAAAACATTTGAATGTTGCAGTTGAATTATTTTCCTACTACCAGATTGCTCATCTGTGTCAGCATTGGAAAGAGTGGAGATGGGCAATTAGCAGCACTATGTCGGAGTGTTAGTAGGGAAGGTAGCTGTCTCTGCATAATGTGGTAGCAGAGACAGCTTCAAGGCTCCCTTTCCTTTCTAGAGCACTTTACACAGTGAACTGGAAGAATGTGATTTTCATATCACTTTCTCCAAGAGTGCCAATCAGGAAGATGAAGATGGTCCTGTTGCCAAAAAACAAGACAATCCATTTCCTTGACCACAGGGGATGTACTGAGGAGCTCTTTCGATCTCTTCCGACCAATAGGAAGACAAATTGTCAGCTCCAGGTAATATTTCACTGTGACAACCAGATGTAAAACTGAATATCTGTAAAAAAAAATTTCAAGTGATATGCTAATACAACAGGCGATCACAGTTTAACCTTCTTTTGGATAAAACACATAAAAAACAATTTTGGATAAAACACATAAAAAACAATCTTCGGAATGCACATATTTTCCTGCAAATCCCCAGTTTCTGCACAGACCTTGATGTCGCTAATATTACTCCTATGGTTTTCAGTGGTGGCGTTGAATATATTCCATAAAACATTACACAGCAGTTGTCAACTTTCTACAGAAAGCTGTACCGAGTCGACAGACAAACCTGCATAAATTCAGACTTTTTTTTTCATTACTGTAAGTTTTCTCAGCTGTGCATGTGCAAGGCCACATTCACAAAGCTATGCCAAACCCCGTACAAGTCACTTGAATACTCTCCAATATCTTATACGATGTCACAGAATGGGCATACATTTAAATCAATTTTGGTTCAAGCAGCAGAATACACACAAAGAAGGGAGGAAGGACTAGGGAGTTCTGTATACCATGGTTTATAAAATGTCCTTGGAATTTAAGGGACAGAATCAAACGTAAGGAGCAACGCAAGAGACAAAAACGGCTAATATTTTGATCTCTCCACAGTGGTAGGGAAAAAAAAGACTTTTCACCAGGTGTAATTTCTGTATTGCCATGGTGACCTGGATTGTGTTAGCCCTCTCTTATTCCACAACCAAGAATTGTGATGATGCCAAAGATGTCCCTTTAACATAAAAGACTATATCGTGAGAAAAATTATTTTAATAGAAATACTTATTTATTGAGTTTTTTTGTTTGTTTAAATATATTAAATGCACTACCGTATAAACCAACAAAGTACAGTATAATCACCGCCGTTTTATAACAAATAATGGTTGAATTAGATTAATAGAACCCTGCTTTTGTAGTTTTAAAAGAGGTTATACAACCTTTGAAAAATATGTTTTGCTAAAAAAAATAAAAATAAAAATCCAACACATTTATATATTAGATATATACCCTCTATAGTGTAGTTATCCAGTTACTTACCAATTTTAACACTTTAGGGTGAAATCACTGAAGAGACTACCCTTTTCAAAACGAAAAGGCCTGATACTGATACCTGGACTTTGAAAAAGCCTAGAGACAATAAGCATCATGGCTGAAGAGCAATTTCTGGGTCAAAGTTCTAAAACTAGTTCAATCACAAGTTACATTCCAATGGTTTCTATGGTGACTGCACCACATTTGGAACTTTGCCTTAGAATTTTTTATTCTAGAATGCTACATATGGTTGCAATCACCATAGATACCAACATAATGTTCCATCCAGAATTGCATTGATATAGAGGATCTCACAAAATGTCCCCAAAATGCCATCAGATTTATAATAATATTCAAAACACCTTCCATTAACCCCTCCAGGACCAGCAACATGTCAGGAATGTCAGGCTATCATGGGATTTGCCTAGTCCTGATCATATGTGTAGGTCTGCGTGGGGGGGTGGGGAGGGGGACGTTTCAGCACTACAGGGGTGGTGGTGAAACAGTTAATAAGTAACTAGTTAACCCTATAGGTCTTCAGAGCTCCCTGGACTCTACCTATTAACCGGGTAAGCTGTAGGGGTAAACCAAAATAGCCACTGCTTGTTTACTTCATCTTATGTGATCATGAAGGGGTTAATAGCTGAGAGGAGCCCTCCTAGCATTGCCTGAAGGCTGGTGCGCGTTCCTAACACAATGCGCGTGCACGAGGGCGCGCGCCCAGCCTTTGCGAACGACCGGGCACGCGCAAAGCACACTGATAGCCGTTATTGGCAGCTAGCCACTATTTATATCACAACACCTCTGGCCATCTGCATAAGGAGCCCTGCCTGCATGGATGGGATGGCTGGCTGGAAGCACTGAGATTGGTGGTGCTTCCCTGCCAATATCCTGTTAGCATGGAGGGCTGGGGGGTGGGGGTTAATCCCTGCAAAATACAGAAAAATGCATGCAATGCCTCCCCAGGATACAATGGCTGCAGGAAAGACAGAGCTCAGCAATCACAAGAAATCCTGGCAAATGGGATCTTTACCCAGGGAAGGATTAAAATATTTAACCCCTTGTGCAATACACCCTGCATACCCCTCTGTATCCCAAGGGATCCTAATAGAATAACATGGGGCTGTCCCCCTCCACCAAAAACATCCATGGGGTGGGGGGGGAGAGTGTAATTAATATTAACCCCAGTGATAGAGCCTGTATATATTTATTGGGAGTCCCCTGCAGTCTCCCCAGGGCTGGACTGAGCTGCTGTCCTTCTCCCCCTGGGAGCTAGCATCAGCCATGGCCAGATCCAGAATACTCAAACTCTGAGTGACACAGTATCAATAAGGAATGATACATTCTTTAACCCATTCTGCAAGTGGTCTGGGCTGCTGTCATTCTCCAGCAGGGCACCAGCGTCAACCAAGACTTAATACAAAATACCCGCACCGTGAGCGACAAAATAACAACATCGCTGCATTCCTTAACCCGTTCAGTGCCGGAGGAACGCGTTCCATTCGGCCTCTGCCCTTTAAATGTCATGGAGGCAACGTTCTACATAAATAATAGGCAGGATTCAGAAAGTCCCAAATTCCCCAGTGTAACCTGTCTCAATCCCAGTGACAGCCCAGATCACAGCCCCCCCAGTCCCAGCTGGAGACCCCCCCCAACCAGGGAGCACCCAAGGGAGGTGATCACAGAGCCCTGCATGATGGGGGGGAGAGCCTTACATTATCTGTGTCCGCATGGTCAGTGGAGAAATCCTGATTCCTGCTGTCTCCAACCTTCGCCATCTTCAAGCTGTTGCAGAATGAGGAGTAGGCGAGGAGGACAACCCCCAGAACAGCATACAATTACCCCCACTGCCTGCCCACCCTGAGCCAGGACACTCCTCCTCCTACCTGCCAATGGGTTAACCCTCTGTATACCTGATATCCTAATGACCAGCATGTATGGGGAGAGGAGGGGGCGGAGGTGATCAATGCCCCCCCCCCCACACACACACACATATAGAAACACAAGCACACACAAATACATATCACTGTGTATTTTTCTTTCCCAGTTACTGTAAATATAATTCAGTCTGCACAGGCTCACATCACTGCTAATCAAATCCCAATCCCACAAACCCTTAGCCACAAACTCAATTAAATCCCATTTTGTGACATTGGTAATTATGTAAAATATAGTGGAAGAGACACACAGGACAGAATGGATACATGGCAAGCTGCAGGTATAGAGGGAACATAAACGAATGTCTAATAAGGTTAGTCCTACTCACAGTGGTAAGTCACAATTAGCCAGGCAGGACATGCCTGCACAAAACAGAGTGGGCAACTACTAACTACCCCTAGTTATCAATATGTGCTCACTGAAATTCCACATTAGCAATATCTCAAACTACCAATTCTATCCAAATATGGAATGCATTGATATACTACTAGGAAAGGGCATCTCATGCATCGTTACAAGCAACCATTACAACAGCATGTAGTAGTTATGGTGCTTGGATCACCTTTTTGAGTAACAATTTATTTATTTGCACATATCAAAGTTCAGATGCAGCAAGAGGGAGATCTCTATTGTTTTGTCTAGCTTTTGATATTTCCATGTAAAGTGCTCATTACTTAATTCCCCTATTTGGGGTACTCATTTGGCACTCCCATCAAGGGATCTAAAAAACATTTTTATGGCCATTTGGAAGAGTTCACTTTTTTTAAGTCAATGGGCCTAGACTGTAGAGCAGGCTTCCCCAAACTGTGGCCCTCCAGATGTTGCTGAACTACAACTCCCATGATTCTTTGAATGAAATAGGCTGAGAATCATGGGAGTTGTAGTTCAGCAACATCTGGAGGGCCGGAGTTTGAGGAAGCCTGCCCTAGAAGGTTAACAGTCATGAATCACATACATAACAGAGACCAAAACACAGGGACATTCTGAGGTGGGTATAAAGGACATCCCACTCGCATTAGTCATGTTTCACAAACATCTGTAGCAACCACTTCTTTAACAAATATATTGCCTTTTTACACCCCTCTGTCTCCTCTATCAGGGCTGAACCTTCACATTATCCACAAGCACAATGGCACGGCTGGCGAAAGGTTCAATTATTTTAAGGGGAGCTGATTTGCCCCCCTTTTTCATCCTTCCCCCTCAACACTATCACTCCTGTCACCACCTACCACTGAACGGAGACTTAGAAATTATTGGTAGAGCTTTGTCCCCCCATGAAGAACCTGTCTGTAGAAATGACCTTCCCACCTGTGGAAATATAGATCTTCCACACCAATTCCACTACTTATAAGATTGCACTGACCTTTCCTGCTCTGCAAATGTTAATGAAGATTGTATGGGCATGACTGGAGTGGAATGGTTTGATTGGGGAGACAGGGAATGGGGTAACACTAGAGTACTAGAGAGTTATTGTCACGAAATCCCTTCTATCTGGACACCTCCATGACATTCCAATTAATGCTGTGCATGACTCAGACCGCTTCTCTCCTTGGCATCCTATACCTTTGTTTTCCTGCGTTATAGCGGTTTGCTTCATTATTATAATGACATCATGCTATTATGTCTTGGCATGCTCTTTCTGCGTTAGCCAATGGCATCAAAATCAGGATTAATTCGGATCTTAACCTGGTTTGTTTATTGCCCTGTCGTGGTACTTGTTACACAAGCGTACGTCCTGTTTATTATTAATGTGTTTCTGGTTTTGACTTGGCTTTGTTTACCGTACTCCTTGACTTTGCTTGCTCGTTGACCTTGTGCTTTTCTGAAATCCTTGAGTCTGGTCTGACTATTCGGACTATTCTTTGTCTAATAACGTTAAGCCTAGTCACTCTAAGGACCGGTAATCAGAGGAGTATTTAGGTGACTTAGTATAAAGCAGATATGTTTGCTGGGACCCCTCAAGTTTTTAACTTTTTATTGCTCCTCACCCACTCATTCCTTTGTGTGTATCCCATGACCCTTCTTTTGTGTTTTTCCTAAGCCCCTTCATTCAATCGTGTTTGTCTCTTAACCCTTCTCACCCTCTTAAGTGTCTCTTAACCCACCCATGTATAATTTAACCCTCCAAACCTTTTGTCTGTTTCTGAACCTTCTTAACCTTTTTTGTCACATATATACACAGTGACATGAATGCATACATAGACATTAAATCGTACATGCATTCACATACAAACTTAGATACACTCACAGTCACATACACACAAACATGCAGTCAGATAACCACACATATTACACACCACCATAACATACATAACTAGACAATTATTCACACAGAGTCACACATACATGTACCTAAACATACAGTCACAAATATACACTATGTCACACTATGTTATCACATGCAATAACACGAACACAGTCACACACCATCACCTACAGTCACATACAGTCATAGGGACATACAGTCACACACAGAGGTGCACATAACCATACACACATACATTATCATATGCAGTTACATGCACACAGTAGAACACGGTCACACAGTCTCACACACACAGTCATGTGCACAAAGTCACAGTCACACATGTACAGTCAGATGCACAGAGTCACATAAACCATTTTACACATAGTTACTCAATGTCACACAGTCAGAAACAGTCGCACGCACAGTTGCACACATATACTTCTACATGCACACAGTCACAAAAATATACTGTCACATGCAGCCACATGCACACAATCTTATACACAGTCACATAGTTACACACACAGTCACAGGCAGAGAGTTACAAGCACTGGGTAACACATACAGACACACGCAGTCAACAAATTCCCTCTTCCCATTATGGGTACTGGTAGGGAAGGAAATCAGAGGCACAGCCACAGCAGTCAGTGGTGTCAGTGGTGTCCTCTTTCCCCCTCAGTATGCAGCTAACAGGCAGCAGGTGCTAATGGCATATAGCTCTGTCCTGCTACCTGTATCAGTGAGACAGTTTCTTCCCTGGTAGACACGGGTTGAGGATAATAAAATCTATCCTGGTCTCATGCTACAAAGATTGGCAAGTGGGATGGAGATGCTGTGTGCACCTCCTTCCCACCTGCCACCTTGGCTCTCCCTAATCTCACCAGGTGTTTCAGTATTTCTTGCGGGTATTTCATTGAAACTTTGGTTTCCAAATGGATTTTTTTCGATTTGTGCAATTATAAAATGACAGTGGTTTTGCAGTTCCCTTGACACTCACAATTTATAACAATGTCCCTAAGGAAAACCTAGGGTTATGAAGGAGCAGGTATGAGGTTAGGGTTATAGGAAGAGGTTACAACAAGGTTATGGTTATCAGGAGGTTATGGTAGGGGGCTTCAAGTTTTGGATTCTGTAGTATTAGAAGTAGTGATAGACATTTTAGTCCACAGCATTTTCAATGCCCTTAAGTCTCACTTAACCCCGAGCATCCCAAGTTGCCTAAACACCCCTTAAGCATTTGCACAATTCTGTACCCAGAACGATTAAATACAGGATACAGCATTACACCCATTGCTTTAATGACAATCTTGGTAATAACGGGCCCTGTAACGCCATCACACTATTTACAAAGCAGAACATTATATATATTTTTTTCCAGTCTTTCATTCCCTATTAAGGGTTAATAAGTATATAGGGGTGAATATAAAAAATACCCCCCTCTGTCTCATTAGAGATATCTTTGCCAGAAGCTCAAGGAAGCAAGGTGAAGGGTCAGAGTAGGACCCGTCTAGGGGGGTCTGCCTTGACGTGGCAGGCGGGCATTCCCTCCAATGGCCATTGAAGTAACTAAATAACCTCCATTTGTTTAAATATACATAGGGATTTAGGAGAGAGCGCAGGTAACCTTTTTTCTTTGGTTTTTACTGTATGTATTGGGGCTGATGTGTGCTATGGTCATTGCTGCCGCCCAGGAGTGATGGGAGTTTGAGCGCAGGACTTGTTTTTATTGTATTTCATTAATACGTGTTGCTTTTATTTCTAGTAAAATAAAAGACATTTTAAAACCAAATTCTACTCACACAGAAGAGACTGCATGACAATATTGTGTTTTATTGCCCATATTAGTATAATCCCATTGATATGGTATTGACATACTCAGGGTTCCTTTTGTAATGGCACGAATTAGCTAAGGATCATTTAAGACCTCATGCGTATGTGACAGCCCAAAGGGCAATTTACTAAGCCTAATCACCTTTAGAGTTGTTGTTTTTTTTGGTAATGGTTTTGGATGTAGAATATTTGATTGCAATTTCTCAGGTTTTTGACCAAATATGGGTCTCTCTCAAAGCATAGCCAATATGATGCAGAAATTCAATTTCCTCATTACGCACACAAATCCATCCAAAATTCCTAGGCAACTTAGCGTGCCGCTCAAATTTGCTACAGTGGTTATGGTAATTACAATGTCCTTCTAAAGCTTTGTCTTTTCTTGAAGTCTAACGGTTATTTTGGGGTTTATCTACATATTCCTCTCCATGTCTCTTTATGTTTTAAGAACTTCACATGTGGACCACTTGCTCATTGTGCCCAGTGGTGGATTAGTGGTGTCTCACTGGGAAAGTTGCCTAATCGCTCATACAGGGAGGACCTCCTGGGTGTTTTCATCTGGACTTTCCTTTTGGGTGCACCAAATCTGTTATCCAAATAGTATGAATTCCTTTGGTACATGCAAAACTTAAACAAAAACTTGTTTCAGACACCCTTACCATGGCCACTTCATTCGAGTGTGTTATAAAGCTTTTGTTTGTACTCACTGGTTAGTCTGCTACTTTTTTTATTATCTATAGTAATAATTAACCTGCCTGATTTTCCCAGGAAATCACTCAGCCATTGACTGGTAAAGATTTATTAACTATGTTGTTGCCCAGTGGTTCTTAACTATACCCTAATAAAAGCAATCCTAAAACAGTATTATTTTTCACGCTTAAATAGCATTTAAAATGGCTTTGACCATAGAAAATGTAATTGCACAATGTGCAATTTTAAAATCTCTCCATATTTTGCATATGTACATTTGTTTTCATTACATTTGAGGAATCTTTAGCAATAAAAGGACATTCTAAGCACCGTAAACACAAAAGGCCATTGTAGTGGTTATAGTGCTCGCACGCTAAGAAAGCCATCTGCCAGTCCTATTTCACACCATTTTCAATCAATTTTGACAAAGAAATATGGGTTCCCTAACCATTTGTGACCCAACCCCTAGCTTGTTGTATTGATAATGTTTACAACCTATCGCTAATGTTCAGATATTGACAACATTGATATTGCTAATGTAAAAGTGCAAATTAAACATTAGCAATACGACAAGTAAGAAACCAGGCAACTGGTGCCTCAGGGACACCCAGTTTTGGCCAAACCACTTCAAACCAGTTTTCACACATAATCATGAGACAGCATCTTTAGCCTGGTAGCACCATAAGCAATACAATGTGCTTAAGTGGTTATGGTGCATAACGTGTCCTTTTGAAATAAGTTAAGAAGCAACTCTTTGATTTCAGGTCAATCCAAATGAGCGGAAAAAAAAATCAGACAAGTTAAAATTTGTTTTTCAGTTCAGCTCTTTTAGCCTAATTTTGTAAGCTGATTATCAGCTTAGAGCAACTCATTGAATAATGATAGATCTCAAAATAAAAGATTTGCAATTTATCTGGACTTCCAGTCACTATGCTTTGAGCAATTTCCACACATTCAGTCTCTCAACCATTTTCTGACAACTTGTATTCATGGAACATGTTTGTTCGTCCACCCACAGTAAAGCGCTGCAGAATTTGTTGGCGCTATATAAATAAATAATAATAATAATAATGGAACAAAAAATAAAAGACTCAGATAGAAACAAATGAAAGATGGACACAAATGCTATCACAAAT